CTGACCCCATGGTAGTTCTGGTCAATAATACAGCAGTGCTTTGGGAGCTCCCGGGCCCAGACTGGCCTTTTTCATCTCCATTTTCCAGGGCCCAGCATGCAACGCCCAGCCCAGAGAAGCGTCTTTAGCAAAGATTTGTTGAATACGTGAGTGAATCAATGACTCTCACATGGCCACACACAGCCCACTTCAGGAGAGTGAAAGTGACCACGGCCCTGCAGCCAGCATCCTGCCTACACCCTGTTGCCCCTGCCCTTGGCCCCAACAGCAGACCGGGTGTTTCTCTACCTCACTGTTCGAACTCTGAGTCCCCAGCGCCTCCACTGGTCCCAGGGGAAAGACAGCCAACCCACTAGCTTGGCTACCTGATGAAAGGCACACCTCGCAGAGGCACTGTGGGGTCAAAGGTTCCTTTCTTCCCCGAGAAGCTGGGGTTTGGGAAACCTCTGGGAGCTGCGATCCCTTCTCCACCAGCTTCCCTGCTTCTCTTTCTCTTTTTAAAAGCTACCTAATTTTTTACATTAATTTTATTTCATTTTATTTATTTATTAATTGGCCATACCATGCAGCACGTGTGTATTTCCCGACCAGGGATCAAACCCATGCCCCCTGCATAGGAAGCACAGTTTTAACCACTGGACCACCAGAGAAGACCTTCATGGTTCTCTTTGAGCCCCAGGGTGATAGGACCTCACGGAGTCTCCATCTCTCCCCACCCTACACGATTCTAGACCATCTCAGCATCCCCCAGCGCCAACTGTCTGTCCTCAACCCTCAGTCAGTTCAGTTGCTCAGTTGTGTCCGACTCTTTGCGACCCCATGAATCCCAGCACGCCAGGCCTCCCTGTCCATCACCAACTCCCAGAGTTTATTCAAACTCATGTCCATCAAGTCGGTGATGCCATCCAGTCATCTCATCCTCTGACATCCCCTTCTCCTCCTGTCCCCAATCCCTCCCAGCATCAGGGTCTTTTCCAATGAGTCAACTCTTCGCATGAGGTGGCCAAAGTATTGGAGTTTCAGCTTCAGCATCAGTCCTTCCAATGAACACCCAGGACTGATCTCCTTTAGGATGGACTGGTTGGATCTCCTTGCAGTCCAAGGGACTCTCAAGAGTCTTCTCCAGCACCACGGTTCAAAAGCATCAATTCTTCGGCACTCAGCTTTCTTCACAGCCCAACTCTCACATCCATACATGACCACTGGAAAATCCACAGCATTGACTAGACGGACTTTTGTTGGCAAAGTAATGTCTCTGCTTTTTAATATGCTGTCTAGGTTGGTCATAACTTTCCTTCCAAGGAGTAAGCATCTTTTAATTTCATGGCTGCAATCACCATCTGCAGTGATTTTGGAGCCCCCAAAAATAAAGTCAGACACTGTTTCCACTGTTTCCCCATCTATTTCCCATGAAGTGATGGGACCAGATGCCATGATCTTGGTTCTCAACCCTACACAGCCCTAAAACTTGACACAGAAGCCATACTATTGCATCCCCCTCAAATTCATCCTCTCCGTTTCTATCATTGGGTGACATATGATCCTTGATGGCTGACTTGAAACTTCCGAGCATATCCTAGGTTCCTGGCCCATCCCTCACCTCCAATCAAACAAGCTGACATTGTGGGTGCCCCCTTCCCCCAAGTAAAGCATGTTGCTCACCTCCTGTGGAGACTTTCTCCAATCCACCCCAGGAAATTCATGCACCCCACCCCTCCCCACCCCAGTAGCCCTCACACAATGCCCAAGGAGAGTTACTGCCATGGCCGGGGGTATAACACTGAGTCCCCCAGAGGAGGCTCCACTGATGACCACTTGGAAGGTGACTTTCACCTGCCACCTGCTTTCCCCTGCTGAGCTGCCTGCCCGGAGCCTATGTGCATTTTCTGTGATGCCTCACATAAGGCACTTGCTGTTGAATCTCCATCTCGGGATCTGCTCTGGAGGAACACAAACAAGCACTCTTGACAACTCTTTCAGCAAAAGGTTTTTGAATTCGCCAACTTTTATCTCTGCTGCCGCAGGTCAGGCCACCATCACTCCTGGGATGATGGTGACGGCGTCTACACTGTTCTCCTGGTCTCTCTCTTCCTCCCCTCCCGTCCTTTTTCCCACAGTGCAGATGGATAGAAGGAGGACAGGTAGACATGGGTATGGATAAAGATGATGTAGATACAGATACAGATAAATAACCTGGGTAAGGGACTTCCCAGGTGGCCCACTAGTTCAGACTCCTCGTTTCCCAATGGAGGGGGACTGGGTTCAATCCCTGGTCAGGGAACTAGACCCCACATGCTGCAACTAACAGCCCTCATGACACAACTAAGGGTCTGCATGCCACAACTTAAGATTCCATGTGCCACAATAAGACATGGTGCAGCCAAATAAAAAAATAAATAATAATAATAATAATAATAATAACCTGGGTAAGTCTCTTCCCTGCTCAAAATGCCCCTGGGCTCCCCACTGCAGAGCCAACTCCTTTGCATGGCCCCACCTCCTGGGTCCCCCAGCCCCAGCCCCCGGCCTGCCATCCATCCCCACTTACCCACTGCTCTCCCCACCCCAGCCACGAGGCCTCTAGGGTTGGCTGTCCCTGCCCTGGGGACTCGACACCTGCGGCCCCTCTGCCCAGAAGGCTCTTTGGCTGACTCCTTCTCACTCCTTAAGTCCCCATTCCAGCCGCTCCTCAAAGAGATGCCTCTAAAGGGGTCTCCTGGATCCCGCTTTATCATCACGTTCCTTAGCACTTGAGATCGTCTTATTTGTTTCTGAGTTCACATCTCACTTGATTCTCTCTCCTCTAGACTCCCTGCCTCACAGGCAGGGGCTTTGTCTCATCTGGCTCCTGGTTGTATCTCTAGTGCCAATATGGAGTGCCTGAGCAGCTTGGTATTTGTTAGGGGCACAAAAGATGGAATTCTCCACAGCTGACCAGGGGAATGAATCCGATGCTTGGGAGGTGAAGTGGTTGCTGGGGCTGGGCTGGGGGTGCAGAGCTTCTGTGGCTCCCCCAAGCCTAGCTGTCCCCACTGTCCATCTGAGGGCTTGCTTTCAGGGCCAGACACACTCCTTCAGCTCTTTCTTCCATCCTCAGGCCTCAGGGATCTGGCCTTTCCTCCTCCTGTCTCCCCAGCTGCCTCCAAGACAAGCCCCACAACTTTTTTCCACCCAGGGCTTCCTGCCCACTCTGCAGGGCCCCCCTGGGAAGGGGTGATGCCCTTCCAAGCAGGGACTCAGTGGTGCTCTGTGGTGGGGCTCTGGAATATGCCAGGGCTCTCAGCCCATCCCTAGCATGTGCTTCCTGCTCTCCTCTGTTATCAGAGGAGATAACACTTTGCGGCCACCTCTGTGCCCCAGTTCCTGACCTCTTCCTCCAGGAAGCCCCCCATCCTGACACCTGACATGAAATCACAGTACATGTGCCCACCATGCATCCCAGTTCCTCAGGCAAACAGTCAGCATTCTGATCATCTTCCTGAAATGGTGCCTCCCCCAGGAGCCTCCTCCTTTAGCATGGAGACAAGACCCTCTCCTCCGCGCCCCCCCCCCCAACCAGGTCTCCTTCACCCACCTCTGTCTTCTTTCTCTCATCAGAACCATTCATCACTCAGTTACTAGGATCACAGCGGGTGGGGTCAGACAGACCTGAGTTTAAATTTCTGCCATCTTGTTCAGGTTCCCCAGAAGCAGACCCCGAGAAGGGAATTAGAGCAAAGGGGAGACACTACAGAGGTGCAGCAAAACTTGGCAGAGGGGGAGCGTGGCCCAGGGAGGGAAGGCGGCCAACCCCAGGTGGCTGCTAGACATGGTGCTGTGTGTTAGTCACTCAGCCGTGTCTGACTCTCTGTGACCCCATGGACTGTAGCTGGCCGGGATCCTCTGTCCATGAATTTTCCTAGGCAAGAATACTGGAGCAGGTTGCCATTTTCCCCTTCAGGGGATCTTTCCGAGCCAGGGACAGAATTTGTGTCTCCTTCGTCTCATGCACTGGTAGGTGGATTCTTTACCACTGAGCCACCTGGAAGCCCACTAGACTGGTAACACTCAGGTAATCCTGCAAATCACACACCTCCAGGCGATCCTACTCAAGGGGCGAGGGAGCCGGGGTATCTATGTGCCAGCCTCCTTGTGCACTGCCTGCCTTCTGTGGGTGGAGGTGGAGCAAGCCCCCAGGCACGGAGATGCAGATACGAGCAGCTAGGAGGCACCGCAGTCTCCTAACAGGTCTGAGACATATGAGCAGGGCCCTGACAGCATCTGCTCTAACAGCCCTGCCACTGACTAGCTAAGCTGTGTGACCTTTGGCAAGTGGCTCCGCCTCTCTGAGCCCTCCTTTCTGCAAAGTGTGGATCGTAATCCCAGCTCTCGGGGTTGGCAGTCAGCAGGAAGAGGAGATCAGACAGAAAAAGTCCTTAGTACAGAGTGGGGTGGGCAGGGAGCACAGGGTGGGCAAGCAGCAGGCTCAGATGAGACTCTGCCCTTTTAATCTTGTATCAGCTCCGTTCTTTTCTGTCGGGAGCATGGCCTTCCTCTCTTTTGACCTCTCTTTTGCTTTCTGGCATTTGTTTTCTGCACAGGAACCCTAGTTTCTGTCCTGTACAGTGAAGCCTTCTGAGCTTCCGGGAGCACCCACCACTCAAACAGATCTTGGGAGCTGTCACTCCCCCTGATTTGGCTAGTTCTACCCCAGAGCTCCTGTCCCTTCAGGCCCATGGCGAACCCAGCCTGCATGGAGCTGTGGCTCCCCTGCCTGTCTTTAAGGCACCCCGTGTCCCTCTTGCTTCCTTAGCATTCCGACCCCATCGCAAGGGCTGTGGCTGCTGCATGCAGAAGACTTGCTCTTCTTGCCCCCAGCCTCAGTTCCGCCCTCTACAGCACGTGTCTAGGGGGGAATGCAGGGGTGCAGGGAGAGCTCGGCCTGGCCCGTCTCCAGGGTCCTCTCTTCTCAGACGGCCTACGAATCCGCAGTGCTGGCTCCTGCAGCTGAGGCCACTTACGGGTGGGGTATCTCTCGTGGCGGCAGTCCAAGCGAAAGTCCTCCTCCTCGTGCCTGTCCCCCTTCTCCATCCTGGAAAGAAAAGAAGCCAAAAGCTGGCGTAAGAAAGATCAAGCTGAGCTGGCAGAGACCCAGGACCTGGAAAAGTGTAGCCCCTCTCACCGGAGAACACGCAGCAAAGCAACTTGGCACCATCGCCCCGTGGGATCCTTCCCGTGGCCCTGTGAGATGGGCATCATTCCTCCATTTGACTGATGAAGAAACTGAGGTATCGAAAGGTGACATGACCAATCAGGTGGCATCCAGCTGATAAACTGGAGGCAGACTAGGGAAGCAAACCTATGCGCTCTCACAAAAAGATGTTCAATCATGCCAAATGGCATATGACAAAAGAAAGTGTGCAGTGTGTTTGAAAAATTTCACACTAAGCCTTCCCTGGTGGTCCAGGGGTGAGGAATCTGCCTGCCAATGCAGCGGAGAAAGGATGGAGTCCTGGTCCAGAAAGATTCCACATGCCGCGGGGCAACCAAGCCCATGCACCACGACTTCTGAGTCGGTGCTCTAGAGCTCACGCTCTGCAACAAGAGAATCCACCGCCACGAGAAGCCGTGCACTGCAACTAGAGAGTAGCCCCTGCTTGCCGCAACTAGTGAAAACCCTCGGGCAGCAACGAAGACCCAGTGCAGTCAAAAAATTAATTAATTAATTAATTAAAAAATTTTAATTACACACCGATATGCACAAAGAATTACTTGGCAGAACGTAAGGTTAACAGTGATTAACCCCAGATAATGAGAATACAGGGGATTAAATCTGAAGCCTTTTATTTTTTTAATCTTTTCCCACTCCCCGGAAAGCCTTCTTTTTGAATTTACCTCTATTTCTGATTTGCGGGCAAAAGACTTTGATTAGCTGTGTCACTTTTCTTAACTAAATTAAAACAACTCCCATAGATATTTCTACATAGAAACAAAGCTCTGATCTTCCGACATCTGCCACAATTCTCCTTCCTACCAACAGCTGTGAGAATTTCTCCTCTGGCATCCCAAGTTCACTGCAGGTCCAGAGGGACCGGCATGGCCAGGGATGGGTGACAAGCTCAGAGCAGAGGGTGACAAGGGTCAGAGTGGAGGCAACTGCAGACTCTCCAACATGATTCCAGACCTAGACCCTCACCCCCACCCCACTGAAGAGAGTCAGAGAATGGGCAGGTCCATATGCCCACATGGCACTCACCCATGTGTAACCCAAATACATTCCAGATCTCCACGAGGTCCAGGCCGCATGTGCTGTACCTTTGTGTGTGTGTGTGTGAGCGCGTGTGTGCATGCATGCGCACGCACACATGCACTGTGTTCAACTCTTTGCAGCCCCTTGGACTGTCGCCCGACATGCTCCTCTGTCCATAGGATTTTTCAGGCAGGAATACTGGAGTAGCTTGCCATTTCCTTCTCCAGGGGGCCTTTCTGACTCAGGGGTCAAACCCACATCTCCTAGGTCTCCAACCCACATCTCCTAGATCTCCTGCATTGCAGGCAGACAGTACCTTTAGACAAATAACCTAGTCCCCTGAAGTAGAAATAATTCCAACCATGACTGCATGTCCTAGAGCACACTGCATGTACCTCCAAGCCCTTATCTGTGGCCCTGCGTCTTGACATCATCCTGTTCTTTACTTTGCTTTTAGTTACCTTGGAGCTTATGTTTCAGGAGAGAACCACTGTGCCCAGCAGGTACCCCACTTTCTGGACACCCAAATCTTGCTGCTAAGAAGCCCAGAGTTCAATAGTCAACATCTGAGAACACCCGCCAGTTAGCAAGCACCTGTTGTGCTGGGGACCAGAGGGACAACTCAAAGAGGTCCCAGCCCTTGAGATGCTCCCATCTGCCGTACACACGAACCAATGATCACAACTTCACGTGCTAAGTTTTAAGAGAGAAGGATGTTACGAAGGTTGAATAGGTTGACTGTCCAGTTCAGCGGCTGACAAACTTCTTCTGAAAGGATATGAGCTTTCAGAGGCCAGATGATTTCCGTCACAACTACTCAAACGCCCTTGTAGGTGGAAGCCGCCGCAGATGATACGTCAATGAAGGGCCGTTTTGTTCAGCAGATAATTACAGGCTTCCCTGGTGGCTCAGACGGTAAAGAATCTGCTGCAATATGGGAGACCTGGGTTCAATCCCTGGGTCGGGAAGATACCCTAGACAAGGGAATGGCAATTCACTCCAATAAACTTGCCTGGGAAATCCCAAGGACAGAGGAGCCTGGCAGGCTACAGTCCATGGGATTGCAAAGAATCGGACACGAGTGAGCACCTACATTTTCATGTTCTTATGTACTAGCTTCTTGGAGCTAGTGTGTTAACCTCCGGTCTAGCCAGTGGTTCTCCACATGGAGATCCCCTGACATCACCAGGGGAGTTTTCAACTGCCCGGTGATTGCAATGTGCAGCCAGGGTTGAGATCCACTTGCGTGGGGACCAGCGGAGGCTTCATGGGAGGAAGCAATGCTGGGGCTGCATACTGGAAGACACAGGACATGCTGGCCTCTCAGAGAGGCAGCTGGGATCCAGCCCGGGTCTGCCTGATTTCTGCCGTGCTGAGAGGCTATTCTGGAAAGAGCTAGTTCCTTGCACAAACGCGGCCCTCTCCACCAGGTTTGCCAATGAAAATAACAGGTCTGCAGGGTCCTGGCAGCCGTCTTAGAGCTGATGTTTAAGGAGAGAACCACTGTGCCTGGCATGGTACCCCACTTCCTGGACACCCAAACCTTGCTGCTAAGAGGCCCAGAGTTCAATAGTTAACATATGAGAATATTTGGCTGTTAGAAAGCACCTGCTGGGCTGGGGCCCACAAGGACAACTCGAAGAGGTCTTAACCAAACCGTCTGATAAAGGGCTGGGCTTTTCCCCCTCTTAATTTTCAATACCTTGGACTAAATTTTTAATAAAATACAATAAAAACAAATTGCTGGGGATTGAAATGAACACACACACACACAAACAAAAGGCAAGCTTGGGTGTACCAGCAATGTCAGTTACAGCAAGCGCTCTGACCCTTCGCCCCTTCACCCCATGCTTCCTGGCAGGAAACCCCTGAGGACAAGAGATGCTCTGGGTACGACTGAGACCTTGGGCCCTGAAGGGAGGCGGGGCTGTGGTTGAGTCCAGCTCTGCTATCAATGGGCAACTCACCGGAAGCTCTGAATCTCTGTGTTCTGGAATTTTCTACAAGGCCACTGGCAGAACAGTGGTGATGGGAATGACCACAAGGACAGACACCACGGCCCCACTGGTTGCTGTGAGGATGGGCGCCCAGGATCTGGCATAGAGGGAGGGTCAGAACAGAGTAGCCCTACTGACTTTCAATCTGTTTCATCATTGGTCCCCCCGCAAACACTTTAAACTCAGAAAAAGGATGGAGTTAATCTTCTTCTCCACTTGGAGTGTTGGGGCGCAGCACAACGATGGCAAAAAGTATCCCAAGGGACGTTAGAAAGGGGGCCGTAGGGAGGCAAGGAATTGAGGAGAAGCACAATGCAGGAGACACAGTTTCAATTTTTCCCTGGGTCGGGAAGATCCCCTGGAGGAGGGCATGGCTACCCACTCCAGTATTCTTGCCTGGAGAATCCCATGGACAGAGGAGCCTGGGCAGGGCGGGAGGTCCATGGGGGCTGCAAAAGACTTGGACACAACAGCGACTAAGCGTGAGCATGAGCAAGCTGCGGCTACAAGCAGCCCACTGGGTTCATCCAGGAAGGCTGAGCTTTGCGTTAAAAGAAAAGGAATTACTCAGATGTCCCTAGATGACTATCTTCTTTAATTTGAAGTACAACTTCCTCCAGGAAACAGTATATGCTTTCTGAAGATAGGTTTTGTTTTGTTTTGTGTTTTGATGGTAATGTGAGAGGTGACCCATGAATCTAAATAAGCACTTTGAAGGGTCAGTAGGGGGCACTGGGGGTGAAGCAGTGCTCAGAAGGGGCAGCGGGCTGGTGGCAGGGCAGGGATTTGAACTCAGGTCTATCGGTCCCTGGAGCTCAAGCATGCTTCCGTTGTGCCCTGCAGATTCCTGGCTGGCAGAAGCTCCACCAGATCCACCCTGGGTACACCGGCACTGTGACGTCCCATGGAACGTGGGGCCGGGCACTCCTGGGCCCTCCCAGGACTGCCAGCAGGTGTGTAAAAGGGTGGTGAGGGGTGTGCCCACCCTGTTACATGGTCACTGCTCGATGACCCAAAAGATCTGCAATCTGCAATCTGGGCATTTGCTCTTTGGAGAGAAGGAGGCAGGCAAGTGATAGAGCAGGGCGGCTTCAAGGATCTGAGAGTTTGAACCCATGTCTTGTCCTGCAAGGAGACTCCCGATACCTGCACATCTTATTCCAGAGACAAGTGTGGGCACAGCAGCTGGGACCCTGGCAAGGGGTCCGCCAGGTCTTACCTCTGCTGTGGCAAGAGTCCCAAGCCTCCCAGCACAGAGTTCCCAGCCCACCCTCCACCCACCATGCCTGCTTTGTGTCCTCAAAGCCAGCCGCTTTCTCACTGCCCCAGGCTGGCTTGGTTCCCAAATCTCCAGTCACTTCCTGGTATAAGGTGGCAGTCTATGTGCTGCGTTTCTCAAATCATCTGATAAAGAGATAGGTTTTACACCCACCACCTTTAATTTTCAACCTACCTTGGACCAAATTTTTAATAAAATACAATAAAAATGAATTGTTGGAGAATGAAATGAAAACACACACACACAAAAAGCAAGTTTGGGTGTACCAGCGATGTCAACTCACTGTGAAAGTTTCCAAACACGTGTCTCAGTTTCTCTCATTTTATCATGGATGTGCTTGCAAATGCGCCCTGGTCTGGGGACCATACTTTGAGCAGCACACAGGTGCAGACCCCTTCTTTATCCATGGGCCTCTTCTGACCCATAACTGGGGCTGCATCCACTCTGTCCTCCGGCCCAACATTCCCCAAATGTGCCAGTAACCACAGATCACTTGAGGAGCTTTTTAAAATGCAGATTCTGGTTCCATAGGTCTGGGGTGGGGGCTGAGAGTCTGAACTCTAACA